TGTTAAGAATGTTTTTTGTACAGTAAAAGAAAACCGGAAAGTGGTAATAATTGATTGAGAAGTCAGAAAAAATATTGGAAAGTGGGCGAACGTAGTTTTGAAATTTATTGAGAGCCGGGAATGCTGATTATAAAGTCGAGACAATTAAATTGAGTTAATCGAAGAAAATGCGACCTTCCTCAGATTTTACCCCCAAAATAATGTTCTACATGAAATTCTGTTCGTTTTATGAATATATGCAAATCAGTTTACATATTAATCAATATTACATAAACCCGGAAGTGAATCAATAGCGTATTGCCATAGTAACACACTTGAGAAGTCCGCAAAGAAATACCTCACCGTACCATGTGAGCAAAGTGTCACTGTTAACACACAATTTTTATAACATCGAGAAAAAACAACACAATTTCGGAACTTACTAAAATATGTAAAAGCAAAAACATTTAATATAGTTTACTACCATAAAAATAATTCAAAATCTGTGCTGGTGAGTGATTTGCGAACAAGTGGTGAAGAATGACTCGACAAAGCTAGCTGTATGTCTGTATCTCTTGTTTTCGCTGTTGTTGAGCGTGAGGTCATCATTCAGTAATCCAGTACTATTAGTACTGAACTATGGAATATATTTATTTACCTAGAATAATTTCAGAGGGTTTGTTAAATTTTCTAAAACTGATATTTCACCATCTATCTTATACGATATTTACTGATACCAGCAATATTTGTTTGTTTATTTCTCAAACAGACACCGAGTAATACTATATCCTCGGGGGCGGAGCTACGTCACAAGACGTTCCACGTTGCTAAGACGCGCACCACTCTGTACGTACATTTCTATGGGCTCTGTGCGCGCTGCTGTGGAACGCCGGGCGATCGAGCCGGTGAAAATTCGAGAAAACAACACAAACTCAAGTTTGAAGTAATCTTGAACAACCAAATTTATATATGTTACACACGCAGGGCTAATCTTGTTACACTGTTCATGGGAGTCTCAACAACCATCCCAAAGTACCGTTTTCTGCAAGTTTTTGACCTTTGTTTTCACCGCGAGGGTTGCCAAGCGGTGAAAATGCCCGGATGTCCGCCCCGAGGATATAAAAACACTGTTATATGTAGGGCTCTAAAGCACCGTGAAGGCTTTGGCAGAGCTCCAGAAGGAGTACCTACACTTTATGCAAATTTTTTTAAATTATGCTAATTTTTCATGACGTAGCAGTTTCTGTGCTCATGAATATTCATTAATTTGTGGGTCATTACATTTTAAAAGGGGCGATATATTATTTTGGGGGGAAGAGTTAGAAAGGGGGATTAGCAATCCTTAGGGGTCAATACAAAAGAAGGGACCCATTTGGAGAGCAGCCATGCTCCTCGTGTCTGTTGTTGCATGTGACCTACA